CAAATTTTTATTTGAAAAAGTTAAATTTTCTCACTAAAATATTTTATTTTCGGTTAAAATCACTCAATATCCACCTAATGTGGAAAATTTAAAAAAATGTCAAACTTGACTTTACATAAAGTTTGTCAATAAAAATCCATTTATTGAATCTAACAACTCGTCAAGTCTTGGCTAGTAACTAATTAGCTTAGTGATCAATTTTTATCTAAAATATGATATAATTATAACCTATACAGTTTATTGAACTCTTAATGTTTTTTTTTTTTTTTTTTTGGGCTAGGGTAGTCGTGCGGGCTCAGGCGCTTACAATAGGTTATCAAAGTTATGCAACGTCGACTGGTGGTTAACACTTGGATGGGTGACCGCTCGATTAGAGTGACCGTCCACCTGGGAAAGCCACGCTGCCGAAGATACCCCCATCCCCCACGGGTATGCGGGATCCGTCAGCCTACTGGAGGCAACTCACACCGACCGAGCGTAGGCCCTCCCCCCGCGTACCTAAATCGGGAATCGGGACAAAGATCTCAATAGTCTGTAACGCCGACGGAAAAAAAAAATGTTATTTTTAATCAAATGACCGAAGTGCCTTGCTCACCCTCCGCAAGTTCCTATGGTGTTTAACCTGGTGTGCCACAAGCGTAAGCCATGGATGCTCCGGCAATAATGTTTAATTTCAATACTTTATATTTAATGTCAAAATTATCAATTTGGTGATTAGACATTTTAAAAATTAATAATTATAACAGATTTTTAAAATTTAAAATACAGATTTAAATATACAACTGTCCTAATAGTCCAGTAAGGGAAAAGTACAGCCTTACCCCAACATTAAAAAAATATGGATGAAACTTGTCAGAAATTGTTCATAATCCTCCCCAAAATAGCTGGTAAAAAGTACCAAAGAATACCGCGTCGGGTTTTGATGGGAAGAGGGAGAGGGGGAGTGAGCAAGTTTTTTCATGAAGATAGTTTAGTACAATATTAAAGCACTTTAAAATATCACTAAAAATTATTCTATACGTTTTGTTTTGATAATATCAATGGTTACTGAGATATCTATGAGATTATTGCATTTCCACTTTTAGCAAAATCTGCTCCAACCACTAAATTTATGTTGTTTATTATGTACGATACCTTTTTGAAGTTTAATTAGTTTTTTTAACATTTTGAATCGTTCAAATTAATGTTCAAAGTTTCTTTCTTTTAATGATTCTTAAAAGTCATTAACAACAGAACTATATTCAATATCAATCAATAGGAAATTTCCTGAGAATGATATGAAGTTTACATTGAAATTAATTTCATATAATTGATAATATGTTATAGAAGACATTTAAACTTATAAAAAGTTACTCTAAGCCATGGTCCGATTCAGGGGTGTCCATCCTCACTGAGGTCGATGGCGCAAGAATCTACCATCCTCCCCCCACCTCCCAAGATATTTTATTGCTCACCTTTTCTTAATAAGAGAATTACAAGTTAAGGTAAAATTAGAAAAATCTCAGACCATATACAATTAAACTTGCTGCAGTCCGTTCCATAGTTCCCCATGTCTTTTAGTCCAAAAATTCATAATCCCTTAGAAATTCACCCCTCTCGAAAATTCAAAACCTGTCAAAATATGCTCCCTCAAAGTATTTTGAGGGCGCAACTTGTGCCATGAAACCTCCTTCTGGGCACTTCTGGTCTGATTACATACTGAGAACCAGGAAACTTAAATTTTGTAATTTTTAAGTCAACCACGTTTTATGTTGAATAAAAAATAATTATTGAAAAAAATGTGTAATCTAGGTTGCAACCAATTACTTACATAGTAAAATATATTAAATTTACATTAAATACAAGTAAACCTTGTCTTTTTTAAAACAATTTAAAGGAGTCTTTTAAGCAGTTATACTACTAAGTTCAAGTTTTTTAATTTTAATTTTTTTCAAATTCATTTTAAATAACGATACAATTTATTCTTCACTTTTACAACTTTTTTTGTTGTGAATAATTTTGTCATATTTTCATTGACAGGCAATGTATCGGTTGGGGTATCTTCTTCACAGTTCAAATCTAAAGTAATCCGCAACTAAGATGTTTGATTCTGGATAGTAATTAATAATCTTTAAATGGATCTTTTGAAATTTAAAGTGAATAACTTCCCTCATGCTCTTAAAATAACACAAATATATATAGTTTACCAGTCGTAAACTACGCTACATTATGCACACAAATATATGTAGCTTACTACTTACAGTTGGGCCATGTGAATAATTATCATAAATATTGGTCAGTGATATACAAATAAGTGTGAACAGTGGAGAGAAAGACCAGGTGAAATAGGATTCGCAATCTAACCATTCGAACCAATCTCGACTTCAAAGCTGTCGAAACCATTATAAAAAAACATAAGCTAAGATTATTTGGACATCTACTACGGATGGATCGTAGCAGAGTCACAAGGAAGGCTCATGAGACTCGCTTGCAAGGGAGATGACGGAGAGGAAGACCCCGAATCTCGAGGAACGACCCACAAACGAGGGATGAAATGGAACAGGAGATGGGACTGGGAACAAATTTCATTATCATACGGTAATAAGTAAATTCAATTCATTATAGGAGAGGGAAGCGTATTATTTTATCACTGTTTTTTTATCGAACGGGTCGTTCAAAATAATAAATTAAAACATGTGTACAATGGGCCGTATCTGATTTTGGTAAGGAAATTTGGGAATCTTTCAAACTCTGATATAGCACCGTTAATCAATAACGGTTCCAGGATTTAATTTTGGGAGAGATTCAGACCGAAAGATTTTTTTTTTGTATGTATATATTAGGATAATTACTTCGGAATAAAAGAAAGAAACTAACTAACTATATGAAATGTTGTTTAAATTATTCTTTAAGTCCTATTAAATGTAATTAGACGAACAATAATAGTTTTAGCTATAATTTTTTTCTTTAAACATGGTTATATTTTACCATTTTGGAAGGGGGGCTTCAGCCTGAAAGCACCTCTCTCCCCCTCACCTCCGTAGATCCGCCTGTGCCATTAATTGTGAACTGTTTGAGTTATACTCACAAACAAAATATTTTCATAACTTTTATTCCTCCTTATTTGTTTGATGGAGAAGAAAATGTTCAAAATGATAGCTCAATCATTAGATTAGATGAAGAATTAACGAAGATATGGCGTACTGATAAAAAAAAACACATTTGAGAAATAATATATTAGTTGTTGACCTGAGCGAATAATTCCCAAGGATATTGGTCAGTGAATAAATGAAAAAATAATAACGAAATAAATAATTCAACGTATTAAATGATGAAGGGAATTGTGACAGATTTTTTTAATAGCTATCTTTCAAGCAATCATGGACATAGGCGTAGTCTTTCCACTTTCATTTCTACAGGGAGAGAGGGAGCGATGAATCAAATATATATATTTATATCAAATATTTGGATAGTTGTACGATTTACTTTTTATGTAGATATGAATTTAATTGGATATATCTGAAAAAAAACAATTGGATATATTACAATTTATATATATTAAACATGGGCAGTTCTGGACCCAGGAATTTTCTCAGGAGGGTACGTAATTTTCTCATCTCTATATCAGGTTCTTCCTCCTTCCCTACCCATTTTCCCACCACTATCCATCTTCCCCAATCCTTAGCTGAGTTTAGCCGCTGAAAAGTCCTCTTTAAATGGTTTTAACAATAGCAACTCCATTTTTATTTAAAGTAAATTTTATCTGTTATATAAGCAATCGTTATTTACTTAAATTAAATAGTTTTTTCGTTATCACTTCACTTTAAACAAAAAAGTGACTTACTTAAAAAACCATAAATCTTTAATTTTCTACTTTCTTGCTTAAAATCGAACCATTGTTTAAACTAAAGTTTTTTTTAGCTCTTGACTTATTCTATCACTCCCTTTACTTACGAGACACCCCGTATATGGGTTTAGACATGTAAAAAATAAAATTGCTAACATGAGTCACCAAGAACAATTACAGCCAAAAAAGTCACATTTATATGATGTTTTTTTTTCATTAATTAGCATTAAACAGTTCATCACAGCGGAAAACGTATTCTTTAAGAAATTAAAGAACGTTAAATTTTGCATCAAACG